TTTTTTTCCACTATCCATTCACTTCTATTAGCACATTTTTCCTTCTTCTGGCACACAGCATCAATGAGTTTCCATTTTCCCAAAATTCCATGGCCCTCTATTGAGAGGTTACTAATGAAGGAAAATTATACTCATAATGGGTAGATTTCACATCATTGCATAATAATTTTTTACAAATTCATTCTTAGAAACTTATCTCTTTGATGTTCTCTATGCATCAACAACAGGTAAGATATTAAAATTATTACGGAAGATCATTAATTCAGTTACCATTTATTGAATACAGAGTGATGGGCAATGAGAATACAAATATAATTACGATGATGTCCCTGTCTTTTACAGTTTACAGTCTAATAGGGAAGTATCTTACTTTACAAGTCACCATTCAAATATCTTTTTAAATGTGTTTGTAAAAGTAATCATGCTTATTAATTTGGGAGTTGGAAGGTTTTTTAATTTTAAACAAAAATAATATATGATATTGTGGAAAAAAATCATAGAACATAGAAAATTATGAGTCAGTTATAATCCTACTACTCAGAAATTACTACTATTAATATTTTGGCGTATTTCTTTCCCATCTTCTGTCTGTGCTTATATTTTATGATCATACTGTATATACAATTTTCTATACTACAATTCTGCTTACCATTATATTGTAGTTTTTCCTTGTTACTAAAAATGTTTTGAAGGCATAATGACCATATAAAATTACATCTATGTGTATATAATAATTTTCCTGAGTATGTCACTTGGACATTCAAGTTACTTACATTTTTTTCACTCTGATGAATGTCTTTATTCTCAAATGTTTATCCAGTTTTTAGATTATTTCTTTAGAGCAGATCATAAGAAATACAATTACTGGTTTAAGAATCTCAACATTTTGAAAGCTTTTAGTACATATTACCAAAGGAAACATCGAACTGATTCTTGCTCCCTTTTTTCCCCTGAAGTCCAAGTTATTTATTTTTTCAGTCCAAATTATTTTTTTATTTTAATTTTCTTAAATGTTTATTTATTTTTGAGAGAGAGAGAGAGAATGAGCGGGGAGAGGCAGAGAGAGTGAGAGACACAGAATCCAAAGCAGGGTCCAGGCTCTGAACTGACAGCACAGAGCCCAACACGGGGCTCAAACTCACAAACTGCAAGATAATGACCTGAGCCGAAGTTGGAAGCTTAACGGACTGAGCCACCCAGGTGCCCCAGTCCAAATTATTTTTTTAAAAAATAAGACATCATAATGATACTTTAATCATACTTTATATACAATTTTATATTTACTTCTTTGGCCTAACATAATTACTTTTGCATGTTATTACACACTATGTGTAAACCTTTTAATAGGTGCATAATAATCTTTGGATATAATAACTTGCCTAAACATTTGTCTATTGTGGGAATTTAGTCTTTTTCCGAATTTCAACATCATAATGTAATTTTTGTGTATTAAAGCAGACCTTGTAACAATTTTGATCTAAGTTTCGAAAGTTGGCTCTGAATTCCCTGCTCATTTTTTTCTTTTTTTAAAAAATTAAAAAAAAATTTTTTTTACATTTATTTATTTTTGAGAAACAGTGAGACAAAGCGTGAGCGGGGGAGGGGCAGAGAGAGGAGACAGAATTTGAAGCAGGCTCCAGGCTCTGAGCAAGAGGTCAGCACAGAGCCTCATGTGGAGCTTGAACCCACAAACTGTGAGATCATGACCTGAGCAGAAGTCGGACGCTCAACCGACTGGGCCACTCAGGCACCTCCAAAATTTTTTAAAATGTTTATTTATTTTTGAGAGAGAGAGAAAGAGAGAGAGATAAGCAGGGGAAGGGCAGAGAGAGGGAGACACAGAATCTGAAGCAGGCTCCAGGCTCTGAGCTATCAGCACAGAGCCTGACACAGGGCTCTAACTCCTGAATGGGGAGGTCATGACCTGAGCTGGTCAGATGTCCCACCACTTTTTACCACCTACTCACTGCTAATTAGTTCCATGACTTGGGTGTTACTTCACTCTTTCTTCATGCCTAAAACAAGTTATAGTTTTGGAAATATTTGCTTCATAGAGTTGTTGTTAAGGATTCAATGAGATATAATAAGGAATCTAGGATTGTACCTATTACAAAATCAAGTGCTCAACAAAATTAGGATTTGAAGCATTATTTAAAAAATCACATTTCCCTTGATTTGCCTGATTAGCTTAAATCAGGCACCAATAAAACATCAACATCTTGATTAGGTTAAGATTAGTAGAAAACCTTTTTCTTCCAGCGACTTCACAATCCTTTAGGGTTTGTCTTCGGTGCTCACGTTAGTTCTCCCAGACCACTGGAGCTGCGATGGCTGCTGAAGTAATTTTCAGTGAAATTTTAAGAACTATGACTCTGCTCAGAATTCCCCTGTTCCTGAGGTAAGGATTTTTGAGAAGTGAGGGTGAGGGGAAGAATGGGGTATATTGAAAAGCTTTTGACTTTTTGGTTTGCTAACAGAGATCTCCTCTTGTCCAAATCCCTGCCCCAGCCATACACATCCTATTGGGGTTGTCTGATTTAACTAATTTGAATGGCCTCATTTGAATCTGGCTGTCAAACCGTAGCTTGGTCTGGCCACAAATAACCCTTTTGCAAACTTAACACCGTCATTCCTTACTTTTTAAAAAATGCGTAGTAACACTGCTACAATAGGGCAACCCTGCTTTCCAGGACTAGGTCTCATTGGTTATCTCAGAGTACAAACGTGTGTTGGGAACCTGCGAGGAGGAATTCCTCTGCGGACTGAAGGAAGGTTTGGGGGCTGGGAAAGCGTTGAAAAATGAGGGTGGCACCCAGATCCCCAATAAATGCAAACATTTATTGGCTATTAGGTACAAAGCATACTGCCCCACAGTGGGGTTGCAGATATAAGTAGGATCCAGCCACTCATTCCCAAACTCACAATGCAGGACAAAATGAGCGCACAGTGGGAGTAGGCCTGCTTGTCATGGGAAAGGAGAGGGTAGTGAAAGGTTCTTCAGTTGAGGTGATGCTGGGGCTTGCAGTGTACATGGGTACACTGCGTGTAGAGGTACAGACCTGTGTGCAGGTACACCCCCCTGGAACGAGAAGGGTGGAAATAACATTTGCGAAGTAGGCTGGTCCTGAGATCTCTTAAGGCCACGGTAAAGTTTTATTTTTACCGGGCCAGCAAAAGGGAGCCGGCTCTAAGTAGCGGCGAGGCTTGGAAAGATGACACTGGAAGCTGAGAGACCTATTAGGGAGCTGTAGCAAACAGTCCAAGAAAAAGGCTAAAACTGGGGTATGAACAGGGGTTTGTAAAGTATGCCTGTGCAAGGAAGACAGATCAGACAGGGCTAGTAGCTCTGGAGTGAGGATTCCTCCCAGCTTTTTGGTTTGGGAGAATTGGTTGGTGGATGTTGGTACCAATAACCTGGATGGGAAAAGCAGGCTTACTGGAGAGCGCCATTCAGAACCTCCATTTCCAGCAATATCCCATCTACTGATTCTTTCCTGGTCAGCAAACCAGATTCCAGAAACCGCCTCAATGTTTCCGGCCTCTGCCTTCCAACAGCTCTCTAGTTGGCAACCAGTAGTGTCAAAATGGCGGCCTCCCTAAGGACTAGTCATGTGACCTCGGGTTTCCCTTGATGGAAGCCTGGCCGTCCGTTGCGGGGCAAGGTTCACCTGTCACGAAACGGGTGTTAGCCCTTCAAATCCCGCGAGCCAATCGGCATCTGAGACGGCCGGTGCGGCAAGGCGATCGGAAGACTGGTTCTTTCCCCTCACCCAGCCAGCAGCCAATCCCCGAACGTCATATACTTCGCGGATCCGCCTGGAGGCGGGGCGGGAAGCAGGAATGTC